ACAAAGCATCGCACTGTATATTCACCAAGAAGATATCCAAGGTCACAAAGGAGACAGTTCAAAGTGGAACTTTTCAGCATTTGTACATTTGTCAGCCAAGTGTGAGTCTGTCTTTTGCGAACATTTAGTGATAGTACAGCTGGGAAGGAAAATCAACACTTGTTCTTTGTCGCACCGCTTTCAGAATGATTTGGTGAGTACTTCGGTAAAATCAGGTGGGAAAGAATATCTTAGATGAGGTCAGAAAAATGCAATTATGTTTTGCTAAATTTTCGATGATACGCCCTATGTGTCTCATAAAAATCAGATGAGTGAAAATGAAGTGAGCATAGAGGAGTTGCTTCTCAGCTTCGTTGAGACAACAGCAAAAAGCCGAGGAAATTTCTGCACCGGTATTGCGGGATCAGGTGAAGGATGGAATTCACATTGACGACTGTCAAATGATGCTGTTGTGGCACGCTAACGAATGGTTGTCAAGAGACGTGTCTGTGTGAAATCAGCTCAAAGTCTACATCTGTGTCACCCAGAAACCATACTAGGTGTTCATGTAACTTCGGCGACAATTCATTCTTTTACCTTGTTTGTACGATGCTTCGGTTGTTATCATTGTTTGTTCATCTAAATATTACTTGAATGCAGGGGTTCGATTCGCTGGTGTAAGTATCAGGTGATTGCAAATATTGTAGGGAAGAAATACATGGAACTCGTCACTTCAATGACACATTCCACAGAATAAGAAGGAAATGCAATCACTAGATTAGCCGCAGATTTACTTCTCATCTCGATACAGTCGTTCCCGTTTGTTTTGTATCATAGCATGTAGGGATCTGCTCTCATAGAATTCAAGGATGCACAGGTATGTCAAAAGAACTGGGCTGGATCTGTTAAGTTTTGACAATATTACAGCGTTAAGAGTTGCCTTCTACAGAGTAGAGCGGAAGTGGTGCACATTGCAACGAATGAAAGCAAAATCTACGTTAATTTGGGGATAGGCATGAAGCGTCCAATCGGCCAAAAGAAACGAATGCACAGTGGATAATAATTCGATGGGATTTGATGCAGAGTCTAAACGGAAAATGCCATCATAGCCATTTTGACTAATGAAAAGCCATAGATTTCAGAAAGGTCATGATAATGCGAATCTATATGCTTTCCTTACACCACTAAATCTGCTTGTTATTAAGTATGGTTGTCCACTTAGTAAATTCAACGAAGAGATAGAAAAAGCAAAATCCTTGCCGAAAGAGAAGATTGCGATATTTTGTGAAAACTTCATTGCAATACTAAATTAATGGACCATCTGAGCTTCTAAGCCTCATATCGAAATATCACTTGGGGAATCTGCTGCGCATATTACTTATGCGAGCTATTAGCATAGCTAGCTGTGAGAGCGTATTCTCAAAACGTAAGCTCATAACGAACTAACTTCAGGCGTGATTGCGGCAAACAAGACTCACGGAGTCGCAGTTCTCAACATAGAGAAAGAAATTGACAATGGAGAGTTATCAATGCGCGAAACGGGTGTCTGTAAATCGTGTCCCCGTGTATTGAAGCAATAAAAGAATCCTGCATTTTCGGCAGTAATGTATAATTGGAGCTTGCTTGACGTTATATGAAACAAAGTAGTTAAGAACTGTCCGAAATTATGAGGTTTTACGGATTAAAACCACCAGAAGGGGCGACAAGTTTACGTCCGCCCCGGGCGGCAACAATAGTTGATTCGCTACTGCAAGCACCTGCTAATTTTAGGTGCAATGACACTGGCTACCGACTGTGAAGGAATGAGTAAAAAATATCAGCTCTTTTCGATAACAGGATTTGTTAATGGGATAACCTGGGGCATGCTCCGACCTTGCTCTAATTTCTCGACTTCATGCTACTACGCATCTGTTGAACCTGGGCTTTACTAGGCTCACGCACGTCGTGTTATCCAGCATCGCCCTGGGGATGAATTTCTCTCAAGCAGTCGCGGTCGGCACCCCTTCGCCCCATCCGTGGTTAGATTTTCTCTGCAACTAAATCCGACGGCCCATTGGCGTACGGCACATAACCAATGCGGGAGCAAAGCGCCAGAGAGCGCAACAGCAATGACTGACGCACGGGCGGGAGAACTTGTAAGAGTATACGATAAAGTCGAAATCGTTACGGCTGAAGTTGAATGTCCTATGGCTTAAGGTGTCTGGGAAAGGGTGTAGTTTAAGTATAAATCGGTTTAGCCCAACTGCGTTGAAGACGCATGATGAATGTAACGGATATATATATATATATATATATATATATATATATATATGCAACGTTATGTTAAATATTCAGCCAAAGGCTCCGGGTGGAGTCACTCAAGCAAACATCCGAACCACAACGACCAACTCGTGTGCGTTGCCCACCAATGCAATCGTATGCCTGCGCGCAAAGCACTCAGCATCGGGTGCTGGAACGTGTGCACACTACTGGACCGGAACTCCAGCGAGCGCCCGGAGCGACACACTGCACTAGTTGCGATGGAACTGGCGATATTGCGACGCTCAGTGAAACTCGGCTCGCTGAGCAAGGTAAGTTGCATGAAGCAGGTGCTGACTACACATTCTACTGGATGGGCAACGCCGCCTCAGCACCACGTGATCATGGGGTCGGATTTGCAATATCCGATCGCCTCCATGGCCAGCTGGTGGGTGAACCAACGGGCATCAGCGCGCGACTGATGACTGTTCGCCTACGACTCGGAAGAGGTAAGTTTGCCACCTTTATAAGCACGTACGGTCCGACCATGTGTTGTCCTGATGACACGCGTGATCAGTTCTACACTGAGCTATCCTCCGTGATACGGTCTGTGACGAGGAGCGACTGACTATTTCTGCAGCGTGATTTCAACGCGCGCGTTGGGCGTGATGCATCAGCGTGGACAGATGTTATCGGTCCGCATGGCATTGGTTCAGCGAATGCGAACGGTGACAGGCTGCTCTCACTGTGTGCCACTCACGGCCTGACGATCACGAACACTCGGTTGGCACTGAGTGCGAGTGATATAGCAATTTGGATGCACCCACGGAGTGGTCACGCTCACCTGCTCGACTATGTCGTCGCACGTCAGCGTGATATGCGTGAAGTGCGCATGACACGTGTGCTGCGTGGAGCTGAGTGTGGCACTGATCACGAATTGGTGCGGACCAGGCTGTACATATATTTTCGTAAATCTATGTATTGCACTCCCGCCGTGAATCGGCGTAAATTTAACATTCTCTCCCTCGGTACTGTGGCGAAACGTACTGAGCTGGAGAATGCGATGGCTGCACGCCTGTGTGATGTGAACTACATAGCCACAGTGGGCGACCTGTGGCACCACATTCGCGATCAGGTGACAGCTGCTGCCGAGGAGACCATCTGGCGCGCAAACTGTAAGCGGCCTGATTGGTTTGATGAGAACAATGCGACGATCGGCACATTGGTGTCGGAGAAGAATGCAGCATTTGCTGCACATGTCGCAGACTCCAGTGACTTGGGGAAGAGTAGTCAGTTTCGCAAACTTCGACGGCGACTGACCCGAGAGCTCCGTCGCATTAAAAATGCATGGTGGACGGAGAAGACGAAGCAGATGGAATGCTACACCGAACGCCGCCAACACAAGGAATTCTTTGACTCCTTGAAGGCAGTGTATGGACCGAGATTGGAGTCGCTGAGGACACTGATCGATGGTAGTTCAGGCGCTACCTGCACACAGACTGCAGACATAATGCAGATCTGGCGAAAACACTTTGACTGTCTCTTGAACAACCGTTCAGAGATCGACTGGTCTACATTGAACGACCTCAAGCAGCACGATGTGAAGGCAAGTCTGGCGGACACGCCGACACTGGATGAGACGCAGAGAGCACTTGCTCAGCTGCGAAACGGCAAGTGTGCTGGGGCCGACGGGATCCCGCCTGAAGTATTGAAACACGGCGGACCCGCGTTGTTGACTGCACTGCACCACTTGGTGCAACGTGTATGGATTGAGGAGGTGCCTCCTGAGCTGAAGGATGTCCTTGTGCTACCACTGTACAAAGGTAAAGGGAGCAAGCAATGTTGCACGAATTATCGTGGCATCAACTTGCTGAGTCATGTGAGCAAGGTGACTGCCCGAATCCTGCTCAACCGCCTCGTCAGTCAGGTTGTGGAACTAAACGTGGCGGAAGAGCAGTGCGGATTCCGTTCGGATCGCAGCACTATAGATATGGTGTTTGCGGCTCGTCAGTTGCAGGAGAAGTGCAGAGAACGACACCAGCCATTGTACTCGCTTTTTGTTGATTTCACCAAGGCATTTGATACGGTGAACCGCGAGGCATTGTGGCTGGTGTTGGGTAAGTTTGGTTGCCCGCGTAAGTTGGTAAGTTTACTTGAATGTCTGCACAGTGGTATGCGAGCGAGGGTGCAGCTGAGTGGAGAGACCTCGGATGACTTTGCAGTTGTCTCTGGTGTGAAGCAAGGCTGTGTCTTAGCTCCTGCCCTGTTTAATATCTATCTTCATGCAATGTTGTCTTGTGCTTTTGGTGCGGCTTGTGCTTACGGTGTTCGTGTGGAGCACCGTATTGATGGTGGGTTGCTGAACATCCGTCGTTTCGGTGCGAGAACTCTAGTCTGTGAGACAACTATCCGTATGTTGCTGTTTGCTGACGACTCTGCGTTGTTTTCACACAGCGCGGATGAGTTGCAGCACATGACTAGTGCTCTGGCTTCGACAGCGGCCAAATTCGGGCTCACCATCAACACAAGCAAAACTGTCTGTCTCTTTCAGCCTTCACCAGAGGTGCAATCTTCAATATTGCCGCGAATCAGCATTGGTGCTGAAGTATTGGAAACCACCTCCCGCTTCTGCTACCTTGGGAGTGTGATGTCGACTGACCAGCAGCTTCACAGTGAGCTTCGTATCCGCGTGTCGAAGGCAGCGGCGGCATTCGGGAAGCTTGAGTACCGAGTGTGGAACAACCATCAGCTTACCATTGGCACGAAGCTGATGGTGTACAAATCCATGGTGCTGTCCGTTCTTCTATACGGCAGTGAAACGTGGACGATGTACCGTCGGGATGTGCGATATCTCGAGCGGTTCCATCAGCAGTGTTTGCGACGAATTTTGCGCATCAGTTGGAGCGACAGAGTTGCTGACACGGAAGTGTTGCGACAAAGTGGGATGTATGCAGTGGACTGCATACTTTTACTGAGACACCTGAGGTGGCTCCGTCATGTGTGGCGTATGGATTCGACGCGGATACCGGAACAACTCTTATACGGTCAGCTGAGTATTGGGAAGCGGCATGTGGAGAAACCAAAGTTACGTTACCAGGACATGATCAAAGTGAGCCTCTCACGTTCTAATCTTGATTGCAGGTCATGGGAATCAAAGGCGGTTGATCGGCGTGCATGGTGCGATCTAATCACGAAGGCAGTTACCGAAGTGCGGAAAAATGACCTCATACATGCAGAGAAGAAGCGGCAAGCACCGATGGGTTGTACTCCATCGACATCAAGCACATGGTGCTGTAGCACATGCGGTCGCGAGTGCCTGAGTCAGGCAGGCCTAGTGAGCCATGAGCGAGGCCACTCGGGACCACTACCGAAGCGACGACGGGTCCTGCAGAGAACGTAGACAGAACCGGCACAGCGTTTGTAGGTACGCTGCATTCGATTTACTAACCGCGTGCTTGCATGTTAAGTCTGTTTGTTTCAGATTGTGGGTTTTCAATTTTGTCCTAATGCTTTTCTTTCCCATATAAATGCCTACTTATACTCTCTTCTATACACTTGCACACATCGCTTAAGCCACTTGTAGTTATTTCGGTAACATTTTCGTGTTTGCAGCATTGCCGTAAAATAAACTTCCTGACCTCATGAACTTACCTCGTATTCGTTTGTAGACAACTTATTTCATATGCTCATTAAGTTAAGATTTATGTCACCGTTTCCTTATGCATTACACGATTTATTTGCTTGGTTATCTTTCTCTCAAGTGATTGGCTGTTGCTTGATATCCCCGGTGTGGCTGCGCTTGATGTGCATGTTGACAAGGTGTCTACCTGTCTATTACCCACTACCTCGTTCATACTGGCTCCAGGAGACAGTTGGTCGTTGCTGGAGGGGACAGGGTGCACGGTCCTTGTGGCTGTGCTAGGATCAAAGAGTGGTTGCATGCACTCAGTGTGGAGCGGACTACGGTCCAACCACCGCCTTGTGTGCGCTTGATCCCAAATACAGCGTGCTTGTGTTTGCCTGTGAAGGAGTGTGGGCCGGCTCAGTTGATGAAACGTGGCTCCCATCCACATGCCTCCCGGTCTTATTCCTTCGGGTTTACACTGGATATGGGGTGTGTGGTTGGAGCTGTGGGTGGTGCAGCGCAAGCCATCCATGGTCCCTCTGTAGGCGCAGGTGTCCTGTGGCTGGCCACAGTGACAGGCAAATCCGAAACCGGATGCCGCCAACCATGTTAAATATTCGCGTAAACAGCGTGCCAAGGGGGAAATCGGTCGTGGAGTGTTCGCGCACTAGGATAGTACCTGGACGTTTACGCTCAGCTGATCTAATCACCTTTATTGGAACACTAGTGAGTGCCGAATCACAGTCCAACTCATGATATAAAACCCCGTTGGTGAATTTTCTTGCGTTCGAACAGAAAGGATACGCACTAGTTTGGCGTAATTTTACGCGTCCTGCGCAGAACGGCTATATGAGACGAATTTGAACATGGTGATTATTCAGGGCAGCGATGATAGTAATCACTCTGCTCAACGAGACAAAATGTCGTAGACATACAAAGCCACTGTATTTTGAATTAAGTTGAATCACACGCCGGTAAAAGTGCCTAAAGTTTAGCGCGTGGTCATTGACCACGCGTGTCCTACGAGTGCCAGCTGAGCGTTTGTCCCATCCTGCCCCGTTCGCACGTGCAGGACACGACTAGGAGAGATCACGCGGTAAGCAACCCACCACCTAATGACAACATATGAAATCCTAGAGTTTACGTTTTGCTGCCATTGGACCCACATGCTTGCCTGGTTGGGGACCTAAAGATGAAGAGTGCCGACGGCTAGAGCAATTCAGGAAATGGCCCAATCGAGACCAGAAGATCTGTGTACATGGATGTTTAGATCCAGATATTTACTGCCCACTAATTGAAAAAATGACGTATGAAAAGTACGAGAAAGCTCCGCTCGCCTTCAGCTAATGTCATAGATGATTACGCGGCGACTCTACTTGTCATCCGCTGAGTTCCATGATTTTGTTTGGTTTTTTGCCTATGTAGTTGAGATACCATTGACCATGCTTAGCACATAATTCGCCCGTACCCTGAAGTTCAGTTGGTAAGAGTGCTGTCTCGATGGACAAAAATACCATTCCCATGCTATCCAGGGCGTACACACAGAATGGCATCGCATAAGTGTGTGTGTGTGATTCGGACTCGCATGTGAACAGTTAAACCACCACCCAACTCAGCTGACTATGTGGACATTTCATGCATAAGTTCCACACTACCTATCGCCTAGTCGTAGAAAATTAACTGGTGAATTCACTATCTGCAATCCATTTAGCCCGAACTTGTCAGCTATTGATTCAAAACCACTGAAAACTTCACAAGAAAACACCGGTCACTCAGTAGAAAAAATTCACACAGGAGATTAAGGCTCAAACAATGAGACCAAAGTTGCTGAGTGTTCAGTGTTGTGTAGTTGCATAAATTACGGAAATAAAACCTAGCCAAATCAAAGGACAGATGAGTGATGCGTGACGGGACAGTTGAAGCAAGGTTGCATCATGCGTCGGATTTGGCTGGTTCGATTTTCCAACATTCCGTCACCCCAAAATAACCGCGCCAGGGTTAGCAACAAAAAATGTGCTTGCAAGGTGATCAAAACGTAAATGGACGTTAAGCCATAGAGAACATGGCTGGATTACAGGCAGCATTTGAGGATGAATGTGTGGAAGAGCATGAAATGAGTGAGTCGATTAACGAGCAAGTTGTTCGTCATTCGAAAGCATTATTTTCAGCAACACAACAAGTGGAGCCACAGCAACAGATAGTTGAATCAGATAGTTGGTGTGAATTCGGGAGGCAATCGGATTCAATTTGAACCCACTCATTTGGAGAGGGAGGAACTGATGCTGGCATCATTGCATGATTTCCGTTCGACTGGGTCTCAGGCATCAAATCCACAGAGTTTGTGTTAACAAATGCTGAACTGACCGGTTTGGGGTCAGATTCCGACTCGGTCATGATTCTGTCCTCAATAGTGTCCAATTTAGGTCGCGGATCTTGTCGAGGACGTCTCAGTAGACCACCAAGGAGACGGGGTGAGTGCTTAGCGTTCGTTTCCTCTTCGGTCTTGCCTTGACCTTGAGCTGGACTCTTCTCTTCGATTGGCCGAAGCCCAGTAGTGGTTCTGACCCCTCGGCGGACAGGTGGATGATTTGAAGGCACGGTTTGGAATTGCGTTGGAAACGCGGCGTCTGAAAAAAGGAGGAACCTCAGTCAAAATCGTTAAGGGATTAGAAGATTCAAAAAGTACTTACACGATTGTTGGAACAAATGGAACACTTGGTAGAATAACGATTCACTCACCCCCGGAATGTTGTTGTAGCTTTTAGTACAAATATGGGGGAAAATGAAATATGAATGAGTTGAGAGGCAGGGTTAATATGTCTAACGCTGCTTATGTGAAGACCTAGCACCTATGTAGGGAGGTTGACATAGTGTGAGCTGGTACATTGATTGCACAGTCATTGGCTTTTCCGATGGCCTTTCATGGAGTTTTCACTTGGCCATGGAGACAAGTACACTCACTTACATTTGAAGGAATTCCGAATCCACTTTGCGGATAATGGCATTTTTGCCTGTTATGGACATATTCAGCAACAAGGAACAACTGCATTCACCGTCCCCATGACAAGTCCAGTGTGGATAGCTGGACATGGTTTGTGAGCCGGACAAGAAAATAATAGAAAAAGCCGGCCTCTATTAACAATGTGTTTACTCACCTGCATCATTTATCATTTGACGCTGCGACTCTATTACCCCATTGTCTGGCTTCAACGACTACTGCCGGATCATTACTAAGCCATTCGGCCAACCAAGGAAGAATTTGGGCTGTCAACCGACTGCGAATAATAGAGTGCAAACTCGGTCTATACGATGCATAGCCGACTAGTACTACTATTCAACGGAAGCTACGGCAGTGTTCCAGGACGTGTTGGGTTTTCGCCTGGCAAGCGTTCTCTCTATAAAATGCCACAAACGTCCGCTTAACAACACTGTAACGTGGCGGGTGTGACTCGCCACAAAATAAAGTCACAGCTAAACATTCCACACTGACGCAGTCCTCAGCCTTCTACATCCAACCTGTGCAACTGAGTTTACTATGAAGAATGCTTTGGTGGAGCACAGATCATCGCGACTTCGTAATGGTCATAGGTTGCACCAAAACCTTGTTTGGGCTCCTATGCTCACGGATCACTACATGGCGAAATTACCCCCAACTTGTATCTTGACGGATTTTTGCGCGCCACAGCGCCATCATGTTCCTTGGTCTGACTACTACCTGACAATATGCTCACTCATATGGACTACATCTTTTCGTTTATAACTTTCATTAAAATGAAATGTTTTAACATTCCAAAGAAGCTATGCCTGTATGCATATTTGATCACGCCTTTGCAGGTGTGTCACGTTTTACCGAGAATATACCATTTATTTATTTATTTAACCACGCGCTACTCGACAGATTCGGTCTCAACCTGATATCTGTAAGCGGACACAGGCTGGAGAATGGGCAGAACTCGTTTGCCTCACATTGCAAGTTTTCAGGCACCATAGTGTAGTTTGCATAAAATTAATTGAACAGTCGACGGAAGAGAATTCGACTAATTACGCAAGATTATGACTCACTGGTAAATCTGTACTAGAAACTATAACTGCTTGCAGTAATTTCGCTTTAATTAAACTGCTCACCTGAGTAGTTAAGAATAATTCTATGAACATCATGTCAGGTTCAAAGTTGGGCTTTAGAGTATCCACCGTGTGATTTGACCGCGAGGCCTAATCTCTCTATTGGGAGCTCGGCTTACTCTGATCTCGGTCAGCCTGATCACTAGAACCGTATCCGAAGTGGGGTGGTTTCTGTGGTGTCCTTAGGGTTACGACTTAGTAACTTCCTATGATGCGGTTTGAGAGCCAATAGTCGAGCCACCGGACGAGTGGTGTATTGGTAAACACAAAACAGACCGACGCTGGACGAAAATACGCCGATACCGTACACATTGCAGTTCTGTGCTCGTTTAAATTTATAGGCCTCAAAGTATCAGGGAACCTGTGTCCAGTAACACGAAGAAACACCAGTTTGATTGTAAATGAGGTTGTTCTGATACAAAGCACACGGTTGCTTGCGGTAAAGTGCCCACTTACCTTCCTGAACAAGTCAGTTTGCATATTTGTGCATATTTGACTTTGATCGGTGTGGAATTCTGTATTTTCATGCAAGTTACAAGATTCTGCCTGAATCAGTGACGCTAAGTCGAGTTGTTTCTCAGACAGCGAAATTTTCCTCGAATTAGGCTATTCTAGCCCTAACAGTAGTTTCGGTGTTGTTCCCCGCCAACGCTGATAGACCAAGATCGTTACGTCCTCGTTTGGACTTATCATATAGAGATGGATGAACAGAGGTGGAAATGCAACTCGAAACCCGATAGCTAACGCCTTGATCCCTAGGCCACTGAGATCCGTGAGCAATGCTCGGTCAAACGATTGAGGATACAAAGTGCGGCTTTAGAGTACCCACCAGTTTGCTCATGTTGCTTGAAGGGTATCAGTGCTGGCATGTCCCTCCTGATAAGGTCCTAGACACATTGAGGGAGGTATGGCTGGATAAGTGAGATTACAGACTGGAACGCAGTCAATCGGATTGAACATACTGCTTGGTTTGATGGTGATATATGCACTACAGTCGTTGGCGAAGACTCGAGAGTTTACTGCGTTCGGTGGACTAAATTTGATGTCACGGTGGTGAGCAGAGGTCGCATGCCATTGATACCTTGTCCAACCGATACCGAGCTAAGATCTAATCCATTAACCAAATGATACCACGAATGGTCCCAACTGATCACTTCCGGTGGACTACCTTGGCCGTAACCTCCAGTATCGCAGCTCTGCAATGGTGAACTATGTGAGGGAAATGCTTCATGCATAGGTAAAAAAGTGTGCGAGAATCCAAAGTTCCCATTGGCAAATAACGTTTGACTATGTACAGCATCTCCCTACAACTTAGCCACATTGTTTACGTTGATACTTGGACAAATTTACGCAAGCTTATTGTGAGCTGATGAGGATATTTGTTGGGCAGCCAAGTGCTGATGCATGCTGATCTTCAATGAGGCAATCCACCAGATCTGCGAAATAAGCGCATCATTCTGATCATTCCGAATTCTTCATTAGCTGGTACCAGCAGATTTCCCATCGCAGGATTCGTGCGGTTTGTAGCTAAAGTCCCTCTTCCAAACTCTTATGCTGATAATTAAACTTAGACAAAAGGAAGATAGCCTGCGACATCGAGGAACGATACTTCGTTGTCAAGATGCAGTGGAATTGTATCTTCCAGTGTGAGAAGGAACGAGGTGTATTGGAAATAGCACACAGACAGACCAACCTCATTCCGTCGTTTGGGTCAAGGTTAGTAAAAAAGAGATAGTTTATGGGGTTATATCCAACGCGGACACTCAAGTAATTGAGAATGAATACTGGCAATGAATAATGGTTTTTACTGAAAACTGACTCCATCTTTGCTGATGGGACTTGCGTCCATAAACCACAGGATACCAAATTAGCATTTCAGCCCAGATGTGAGGGACAGTCCACAAGGTTTGTGTGAGTCTAGAAGAAGAAACTGAATGACCCACAAGTAAGCCAGTATTTGTTACCGGGACACCAACAAACAATGTATAGTCCCACGGTGTTGCTAAGGTGACGTGGTTATGCAGTGATGACAGTGTTCGCTTCCAATGTCATATCATCGTTGAATGTAAGAAGACTCATATCCATTGTGAATGGAATCATCTGATGCGCATTCAGGCGTCCGCTCAATTTGAACAGCGTCCCAATGAACTCATTCCGGACTAGGCTCTGCTGTGTAGCTTGTGAACTATTGGGATGAAAGCCTTATCAGAATTACAACTAAAATCCTGCTACTCGTGAGTAATATAAAATAAAAATAGCCTCTCCTAGTTCCAAATGCTATGGATATAGCGTCTAGTGAGAGGACGTCATCACCTAGCAGGCTAACCACTATCAGTGACAGTGGAAGATAGGTGGTGCTATATCCCAGTTAGTTTGCAAATTATGTAGCCCAGCCAACGTCCCCCATGGCTCAGTGGCTTAAGCTGCTGGCTAGTTGGCATCTGCCTCTAGCGGTCATGGGTTCGATCCTCCTTAGAGCACCGAGGGAATGCGCACCACTGACGAGCCCCAATAGGGCGAAACGCGTCTGGCGCTTTGCCGGACTATGCTCTGCTATGTAGCTTGTGAACTATTGGGATGAAAGCATTATCAGAACTCATTTGTGCTTGTGCCGGTAACGTCCTGACGTCATTCTGACAAACATGGCATGTGTTCTCGCGCACTGTTCAATCGCCATAGCTGCCAGAGAAGGTTTTCATTTGTGAAATAACTTCCAAGAAGAGTTACGAGCCATACGTTAGGAGTATGGGTTCGCAAAATTAACAAACTCTTCGAAGATACTTTTTGCGCTTCGTTGAGCAAATGGTTGGGCCCATATTGTAGCATGATTTGCGTCTTGTTACATCAGACTAGCTATGCGTTATAAAGGAGTTAGGTGATCGCAAGGTAACCTTCCACCTGTCTTGACCTAGGATTTTGGCAATCGCATGTTACCTGCATGTCGACCACCGGTGGCCGGTTCGAACCTGCGTAGGGGACCAGGCAACCATCGCAGTGTCCTTAGCCCACGCGCGACTGGTGATGGTTGCGTGGCAGTGAAACGCCGTACGGCGTGCACCGCTTATGCCTCTGCCTGTCACCTGATAGTTGAATGGATGTATGTGCAGTCAGCCTTTGTATAACTACACCAGGCCTGTTGGATACGCTCGCCACGTTGCATTTCGGCCGAGACTGACGTGTGACATGTATACCTCTCACTGCCGAAGCAACAATCATTTGTAGTATTTAGCATTATAGTACGCATCGTGTGTCTGGACTGCGACGTACAATCTTCATTGAGGCTACAGTTTGCTTTGAAGCAAACCTATGCAATTTCGATCACTGGGACCGCATCCGAAGTAGAGAGTTTTGGAGCTACTCTCTCCCAACAGTGTAATGCTGCTCCAAAACTCTCCCCTTCGGATGCGGTCCCAGTGATTAAAATGGCGTAGAGTTGTTTCAAACCAAATTGTAGCCTCAATCGAGCTTACGTGTCACAATGCAGACACATGGCGGGTACTTCAAGACCCAACAACGAACTGCTAACCGCCGTGTCAAGCGCTGCTGTGGAGATCTGGCCCAGTGACCAAGACGAAAGCCATCAAGCACTGGAGTGCAGCATTCGAAGAGAGTAGCTCCGAAACCACTTCCATTGCT